AGGCCAAACCAGTTAAGGCCTACCACAAACGAGGTTGACATCCAATATGGAGGCTAGCGATAGTTTGTTTGATCTCGTCTCCATTGGCTGACCAGTCTGTCCAGGCTGCTATACTCATTGTCCGTCCTGAATAAGGCATCCTACAGTGAGTGTAGTGGTTGAAGGGCTATCAGATGCTTTCCGCCCTGAATAAGGCATCGTACAGTATATGCGATAGTCTGAGGGCGACTGGGCTCTCATTTTAGTGTTAGGTTATATTAGGACTACCAGATAATTAAGTTAATTGCTTGCCTCTGATTATTATAGTGATTTACCATTTGATTATTGTTACCCTAGATAAGGTTAGGACATATTTGTATATTTTGGTAGTCCACTAAAATCAGACCAATTATTTCCAACCATTTAATGTTGAACACCTCAAACCCTGAAATTGACCAGGTACGACCCCCGTGTTTAATGTAAATACGTTACATTTACACCTTTGCTTTATAGAATTGAACTAATAACAAAGCAGCAAGCTATAGTAGGTGTTGATGTAGTTTGATGGTTTGTTACAGTTTAAATCAGCAAATTATTTCATTTTGTGCTATTTTAAGAATTCTTAATTTTGTATGGTGTCATAGTTAATATTAGGCCACACCTCCTTTTTGTATCCTTAACTGTGCTGCGAGGAGTGATAACGAATAGTGGTTGATCTCAAAAATCATATATACAATACGTGAAGTTTAGAGGACAAAAACACAGATTTTGGAACCGCAGGTGGTGGTATCGGATGACTAGGAGCTTTGAGCAGCACCTGTCAATTAAACCCTCAGACTAAACCCTCAGATATTAAACCATATACGTTTCCAAGGTGTATGTGTGAGGGTGGGGGTGTGGTGGTGGGTGACCAAAAATAGATATACTCGTGCAATTTAAAAATTTTTCACCATATCTTAATATACAAACTCAGTGTTTGGTACATATATCTTAATATACGAGTCTCCCACGTGGCGCAGTGGTTAGAGCATCTGCTCTAGAGTCGCGGAGTAAGGAGTTGATCCTTACGTCGCGGGTTCGAATCCCACTGTGGGACGTGGAGACCGGTCCTTCGGATGAAACCGTATAAATCTAGGTCCCATGTCGCAGTAGGTGCTGGCACGAAAAAGATCCCTCACTGCTCAATGGTCGTAAGTGCCGAGTATAGGACAAAATTCGCAGCTCTCCTCCGGCAAGTGGTGGCGTCTCCATATGAGTGAAAATTCTCGAGAGGGACGTAAAACAACATACAAACAAAACAAACTTAATATACGAACTCAGTGTTTAGTACATTTAAATGATAGTTGCTATCATTACTGGTAATTAACCTGGAAAAAATGTGATATTTTAATTTAATCTTTAATTTCTTCTGCAAGTGATTGTTCATTGTTTATTTACTTTGATATCCTTGACTATTAAACACAGAATATGGTGTATGTTAATCTTCTGGAAAACTATGGAATTTTTTGAATTTGATAAATAAATCTGATGCAAAATAGGCCTATATGTGTTCTAAAATCTTATGAATTGCTTTCATAATGCAAACAAGTATAAAACGAACGTATGTGGCTGAGAAGAGTGCATGCATAGTGTTGTTAAAATCCACGAACAAATCTCGAGTGTTTTCCATGGTTCAGGGTTAGTTATTGATATTCTATTAAAGATATACCCAAAGAAAGAGTACTATAGTTAACTGTAGTAGTTTACTCCGAAAGTGTGAACGTTTTTAATATAGAAACTCTAAATGTCCTTCTTATGAATTTCAAATTTTTCTATTTCACTTCCTTAAATGTAATATTAAGTGGAAGTATTACCAGCATATATTCACATACTATTACTATGATTTACATCATTAGTATGAAGTTTTACAGATAATAACCCCCCCCCCCCCCAATGTATAAAGCTTTTTATGCTTCCTTTTTCTATCAAAAATTAAATGATCAGTAACTTTGAAAACTATAAATTAACAATTGTATGTGTTGAAATTGTTGTTCATTAAGGCGTGATAGCTTTCAAACTAGTATATACAAAAACCACAATTTGACAAGCAAAACACCAGTTGAGACCAAGTAAATATTACATGCATTAGCAAAATGTACGAGTCTAAACTTACAAACATGTATCTTAGAAGTTTGGTAACTATAATCAATTGCAAACACAATAAGTGGTATAATACATCAAAATTACAATATTCCAAAATATTATTTTTGTATGCAAACAGACATGACTAGAAAAAATCATTGTAAGTGGCAAAAGGAAAGGTGCAAAGGCTCAAAAAGTTGAGGAGATTTGCAAAATCTCTGAAACTACCCAACCAAACTTTACAGTAAATCAAAGTGTTAAAATATTTTACTATATAAGGGTATATAAGGGTAGGGAAAAAATCCTATTAAGTGTACTCTCCATTATTTTTTTCCCATTTAGCTTCCCAATATCAAAAAAAAAAAAAGGATTTTATTTTCTTTTACAATATTATCTGAATAATATTATTGGTGTCTATAGTGTATGAAGGTTTTATTCAGAGTAATAAAATTTTCATTTTCCAAAGATGTATCGTTTGTAGATTTCTTTGAGATCGGTCAATGTTCGTTATCTTCAAAATTTTTTCAATTTACCTACCATGAATTTTTCAGTTCAGAGTACATATCGTATCAACATATCACTCACCAAATAATTTATCCCGAAGGGTTGAATTGTTGAGGACACATCATTTACCAGATAGAGGAGCCAGAAGTCCTTGTTAGAGATTTGTAGGACAAAGATAAGTATCAATATCAAATTTGCCGTTTCCTGTTTTAGTAAGAAACTTTCATACCAGATGCAATGTAGATATTATGAGTAAAATTGTTTATTTTAGGCCATGATTTGTCGACGGATTTTCCGTTATTTGCCGATCATGACAAGGAGCACACGGCGGGTGTGACCCATCGGCAGGGGATGCTCACTCCTCCATGGCACCTGATTCCACCTCTGTTGTCTTAGAGGTCATTGTTTGGTCTGCTCCTATTTTGTAATGTTTAATGGACCTTTGAGCTCGAATACTGTTCGTTATCTTCATATATTTCATTATAACTCACACACTGAATCAGTGAAAATTCATTGTTTTTAACATAATCCGATTTCCATTTTAAAGAAGTTTAGTGTTTTGTGCTTTCTTTTGCATCTTTTATTTACTATAATTTACAGAGCAATTCTATGGTGTTTTAAAGCATCATATTATGTATTTGTGATTGCAAACTTTATATGATGAACACTAAAATACGAGATTCTTAAATGATTTTTGGTTACTTGCATTCATATGTCGACTCGATATATCACAGTGAGCTTGAAACAAAGATACCACAGATTCTGACACATCTGTTTCATATTTAAATATTTTACTAGAAAAAGACATTAATTGTAACCTAACAACAAAGCTTTATGATAAACGTGATGACTTCAACTTTTCAATCGTCAACTTCCATTACTTATGTAGCAATATTCCCTTATCACCTGCATATGGGGTTTTTATCTCTTAGTTGATTCGATACGCAAGTGCATGTTCTACGTATTATCGATTTCTAAAACGAGGCAAGCTTTTGACAAACATGAAACAAGGATATCAACAGTCTCGTGTGAAGTGATCATTTCGCAAGTTTTACGGGCGATACAATGACCTTGTCAGAACATACAACCTACCATTGAGTTAAATGCTGACAGACGTTTTTCATAATAATTGTTAGGCCATAATTTATACACTAAACTGTCGCCTGATTTTTTCGTTTATTTTCCCCGATCATGACAAGGAGCACACGACGTGTGTTACCGGTCGGCGGGGGATGCTCACTCCTCTATGGCACCTGATCCCACCACTAAATTTGAGGTCCGTGTTTGCTCTGCTCCAAATTTGTATTGCTTCATTGGACTTTTGAGATTGATTACTGTTCGTTATCTTCATATCTCATTGATACTTTCAAGAATTGAAGAATTTTTGCTCTTTACATTCATGCAAGTATTCTTTTAAAAACCGGAAAACAAAGGTGTATCTGTTACCCCAAGTAACCTTTTGTTCTCTTGGTAAATGTAGAATTTCACTACTAAATGTAGTGAAATCATGCATAAAAGAAAAGACTTTTACATATAACCCCCAACAAATCTGGAAAATTAGGATGATAAGTGTGTTCATCATTGCAAAATCACAATTTAACGCCATCGACATCATCTTGAATATATAATATTTTACCTAGAAAAAGCTTACTTTAAATACCATAAAAACATTAATGCTGAGAATCTTGTCATTTCTAACAATATCTATTTTACTTTTAACCCTGAAAAATGACAAATCAAATATATATGAATTCGGTATGGAACACTTATTGACCAAAACCTACTCAATCGAAAAAAAAAAAAAATTCAGGATAACTTGTGTTTATTCGTCTTTTTTAAAAACCCACTGAATTACTGAATTCTCTAAATTATAGTACAGTTAGTGACTATTAAAAGTGGTGATTAATTCTAAATGAAACATATAAACAGGTCTGGAAGAAACAGACAGTAATCAAAACTGCTTGAATGATATCTGTAATATTGATAGATCATGAACTGAATTTAAAAAAAAAATCTTACTAAATTACTTCTGATGCAGCTTGTTATATCATATCAATTTTTGCACTGCACACTCCAATGTCAAAATTGTTACTAGTATAAATTTCAAATCGTCAATAAAATGTAATATTGAGTTCCGCTTCAGATTCCATTTATAATCGCAATTGGTTACGAGGAATATATACTGTAGTGTCCTATTTATGGCTATAATGAAATTATAAAGTAAAATTTACCCATAAATTATTTTCCTCGAATGAACTATAATACAGAGACACTAAAAGGACATGCCAAATATGAATGTTTACCGGGATATAAAATAATGGTTTCAAACGTTGTAGATTTTGTTTATTTTACTCAAACTTTCACTTTAATTCTCTGTCAGACTACAGGTGATGAAGGCCAGTGTGGGTAAGTGCCACTTAATCATAATAAGGTTTTAACATTACATAAATATATTAAATATTCTTTGTATGACAATATATACCGCATCACACTCAATACTTGTCTGTAAACATTGTGCATACAGTAAGCTAGATTTTAAATTTTTAACATTATAGAAAGAATGCAAGTAAGCTTACCTAACAAATGTGTTGTCAATAAACATTGGATTAGTAACAAAAACGGACAGAAACTGCAAAAATTCCTTTTGTTTCAGATCCAATACTTGTTGTTCAGGTTACCACATGAAAGATGGATTATGTAGAGGTACTGTATTAAACTACTGGAAATCGGGAAAAAAAAAAAAAAAAAATAGGGCTTTTAAGTTTCAGGTTTATTTTTTCTGAGAATTTGACAATTTAACAATATCATTATATTACTGGTTTGTAAATGACATCATAAAATAATTTTTAAAATAATAATATTCAAAGTTTGCGAAGACGGAAGATATGGATTAAACTGCAGCGAATCTTGTCAAGAAGGTTACTTTGGACGTCTGTGTAAATCAGAATGTCCCACACCATGCAAGCTTACCTGTGATAAAGTCACTGGGCAATGTAGCAATCAAACCTCTGTTTGTGAGTTTTTTTTTAAATTATCAAGAAAAGTATTGATATGAAATGTGTTTATCTAAATGTAAAAGTGTTTCACAAATACTTTTTCAATTACTTTAGAGTGGCTAGTAACTTTTACACATGTTTTGTAGCTGACAGTGGTTTGGAGAGCTTCCTTAAGAATAATTCCTGGGTCCTAGTTGGTGGTTCTTCTTTGCTAATGATTTTGTCCTCTGGATGTATTGCATTTCTGTTCTGTCACCATTTGTGGTAAGTTGTGGCTATTATTTCCATAAGTGTTATGTAGTGTTTACTGTGTTTCATTTACTGCATTTAGAAACAATTAAAACGATTCAAGTTCAACATTGATGTCTGTAAAACTGTTTCAGTCAAAAAAGAGAAGACATGCAATTAATATCAGGTATATTTTTCACATATGATACATTATAATAAAATTCAACTAAGATAATAATCATGGATAGTATAGAACATTTGTCCTTCTTTTAATCCTTCAAATTTATTTCTCTATAATTACAGAAACAAAGCATAGAAATGTAATACCCGGATCTGTTAAACAAGGAAAATTCACTCCACGTCAATCACAGAAAATTTTGAAAAGAAAAGAAGTTTCACTAACGTTCAGAGAAGAAGACACGGGTAGAAACAAGAACCGCAAACAATTAATAGAAATTAGTACTGAAATTAAAGAATTCACACCAAACAGTATTCCAGGTGACCAAAATAAAGCAGATCAGGGAAGTACACATCCTTGTAAAAACAAACCCAAATATCGGTACAGCTTAGCCAAAAACTTCGAAATAACAGAGGAAATTGATATTAGTCAGGAATTTTCTGACAGTTGCGACAGTTCTGATAATGACCATGATGTTGAATATGAAAACATGGGTGTTGAAAAGAGATTTCAGAAGAAAAGTGAGAGTGAAGCAGTGCTAAATAAGGCGGGTCCGTGAACTTGAAATATAAAACTTAAAATTTCTTTCCATTCGTGAAAAGTTATTCTGGGAAAAAGGGATAGGAAATTGTATAGCCTCTCGAGCAAAAGTATATCTGAGAAGGGGTTTATTTATTCGACAAGTGCGTAGTTTATCGTTTTATGATCTTTCTACATATATACTTTAACTTAAAGTTCAAGCAGTCTTTGACTTTTCCATAAGCTATTTTTCTTTTATTTATAGGAAATACATAGAAAGAAACACGAAGTTTTTGTGTCTCCTTTTTAAGAAATAAAACTTCAAATTTCCTGTTTCTTTTTCCGTTTCTCTTCCTCTTCCATGTATTGTGACATGGATGAGTCCCTTGGTACAAAGACACGAAGAAAAGACAAGAGACCCTGAGAATAATACATCAATGTAAAGGATCGATAGTAGTAAAAAAAAAAATTAAACTGATAAATGAAGCTATGTTGCGCAAAAATCAAGAGAAATAGGATGATAAAGGATGAACGAAATAATTAGTCTAGTACTCAGTAACAACTAATAAAGTAGATGTACTTGTACCCCAGATGTCACTATCAGCAGGCTAAACAAAACAATAGTACTTTACCACAATTATTAAACCCATCTCATTCCTTCTCACCTTGGCTTTTCTTGGTCTTTGAAGAACATTTAATGAGATAAGTTAAGTTAGTTTTGTCTCATTTTTATTTATATATTATTTTCAAGTCTATTATCAATAGTCACGATACTAAGAGCTTGATCTATCCAAATAATCAGAACTCTATGTCATTATGTTGCACAAAGTTATTTTCTAAATTATAACATATGAATCAAGAACAGGACAAGGAAGTTAGATACTGTAAATCACAAATTCTCGTAGGGTCAATTTGTCGAGGTTTGAGAAAAAATATTGGGATTTAATTTCGTGGTTGGGGAAGTGTTGAGTAGTAATGCATTTGACATTTTACACTTAGTTGCGGACATATGGATTCGTTGGTGTCTCCATACCTCGAAAACGACGAAAAATTAAATCCCCACGAAAATTAGTGATTTAAATGTAACAAAAAATATATATATTTGAGCTTCATACTCAAACTATAATACACTACTGGACGAAAAAAGTGCTGAGAATCCCAAAATTTACTGATAATGTTTGATAATTACTGATACTGTGCTGTTCTTGCTGATAAATACTGATATTTACTGTTATTCTTACTGTTCTTACTGATAATTTTAATTGTTTCTGATAAATACTGATAATTACTGTCGTCTTTACTGTTGAGTCTGATAAATACTGATAAATACTGTTGATGTGCTGTCGATGCTGAGATTTACTGATAATTACTGTGGTCATTGTTCTTGAGCGAGAAGGTGCTAAAATAGAGCTTTGGGTTGAACATTAAAACCTTCTTCAATCATTACTTTCTTTTTCATTTAATTTTCCCAACAACATTTTCATGTTTCTTGATATTTACTGCTTGTGACAAAAATATGATACTGGTCTCAATTATAATACGGTTGTGAAAATCTTGACAATTATAATTAAAGTTAACCATTAAATAAATTGTCAGCGTAAAGGCAAATGTTTTCCAAGAATCTATGAAAAAAGTACATGTATGTCTGTAAGCAGAATAAATGGAATTTTCCTTTTGCATGAAGATTTCATTTTAACATAAGTCACTGTAATACTAAAACATTAAGGCTTTAAAAAAAATAAATAAAAAAAAATAAAATAAAAAAAAGGATTGATAGCCCGACTCAAGAAATTTGGGTAAGGAGGTTGGTGAATTTTTTCATTAAAAACACTGAAGTGGAAATAATTATTAATGGGTGGGCTAAAATCGGGATAAAAAAGAATTCCAGCAGAATAGAAAAAAATTGATTCGGACCTTTTTTCACTCGGTCAAGAGAGGACAAACAATCATTTTCTTTTTAAAGATGGCATTACATGATATCAATTTTTTTAATTCTTCCCAAAAGATATGCATAGTTTTTTATTTTTTTTTTTAATGTTCGGTCTTTCGGATCTTTTTCCCCTGAAAATCTGCCCGAAACTGATAAATTTTATGTTTGTTTTTTTTTTTAAATAAATTGAGAGATGAAAAAAGGGGTGAATATGTTCAGTCTGGAGGCACATTCTTTATTTATTTATAATTTATTTTTTTAGGAATACGTAATGCAAGCATCCGTAGATCGTCCCAGAATACAACTCTGCTACATGTTTATACATGTGCAACCGGCAGATGGGGGCTGATCAAAAATTATTTGTCAGAATTATAGTGTAAGTGCAATGGTATACACGTGTACATGTAATTTTGATGTTGGTCTCTTACAATTTTATAAGTCACCACATAAAACATTTTTATTCAATAAGTTATAAAAATCTCATTCATTTAATTTAATTTTTATGGAATGGAAAATAAGAAATGGGACCTACTAAATGTAAATAATGGATTATTAAGTTGATCGATTTTGATATTGTAAGGTCACAGATCTGAATGGAATACACGTTTAAATTGATCAGAAATCAAAGATCTACCCGTGATTTGGCTTTATTGTGTACATGTCTTAGGCACTGGGGCAGAATCGGGTACAACTTGTATATTCCATGTAAGTTGTAGTGGTCAGCGTAACAATGGGCACTAATTACCTATTGTTCTGCGTCTGCGGCCACCGGTGTTAATAATAAACAAATGAACCTGCACTGTGCATGTACTTGCTACTTGGAGCAGGAACAATCTTTATGAATGCACAAAAAATTTAATATTTGTTATCGATTTGGTTGGCAAATCAAATTGATAGAAAAATATTTAGCAATATAGGACACAGTACAAAATAAAAAAAAAATGGAAATGAAGTTATATACATTGTACAAACTTATTAATTAAATGAAGTAACTTAAACATGTTAAAATAAAATAGATTTATTTTAATTCACGTCGATCTTTGCTCAGTATTTAATTTCATTTGTTAGTTTTACGTACATTTCTTGAGATAAAGTTTAAAGAATATCCAGGGGGAGGGTGCTACATGTAAATTCATTTGAATCTCTGTTAACAGTGTTTATGGGCCTGTAAAACGGAGACGAGAAATTGATAAGGGAGAGTTCGACTTTGTTTATCTAATAAATAATTATGCAAAATTTATACGAGATTTTTTTTTAAAAGATGGTTTAGTGATTTAGCAATTTGTGTAATGATATTAGCATCAACTGTTCACAGTTCAGAACATCGCTGAATCCGAGAAAAAAATCTGTTATGAATTATCGGAATGTAATAGTAATTAACATGCTGATCGCACTCATGAATAAATGTTATTATAATAGCTGAATTCTGTATTGTTTCTTGATTCTCTAAAATAATTTATTGATGTATATTAAAGATATTTAGTAATTATTACATGTATAACTTATGGAACTTAAAACTAAAGAATCAACCTTGCGCCTGTCAGCTTAGTTAACAGTCTTTCATCCCCCTTTTTTTCTGCTACAGTCTGAATAACTAACTGAATCATGTCGCGTGTACTTTGAGTACATTGGTCTCGCAAAAAGAGAAATGGACAACAAATATTATACTCTCTGTACAAGGCTATTTCTAATTTTACCAATGTTACTAAATGCATATCGTAAGAAATACAACGTGTACTAATATTTGACCCGATTCTCAAAACGAAAGTAGAAACTTCTACACGTGGTGGACATGTGAATATTTTACAGTGTTTTAAGAACAACCGAGTAATTTCAAATTTTGTTTTATTTT